AACGTGCTTATGATTGTGAAATGTGCAATAAAAAAAAAGAGTGCGCGTAAGGATCACACGCGATTGAAGTAAAACTTTTAATATTGTATGAGTAGGCAATTAAGATAAAAATAAAAAAACATCATATTTGAATTTTAAAAATCATCTTTTAATAATCATATAACATCAATAATAATAAGATCTCCTGAGCATCGGCACAGCTGTCCTACTGATATTAAGAGTTTGAATAGATGTGAAGCTTTCTTCCTAATTTGTTACCTATCTTACCGGGAAATTCAAACCATAAACGTAGAAGTTCATCATTATCGCCACGTTTCTATGTACACTAATTTTCCCACACAACCATTAGCTAAGCCATCACTTACATCAATATTAGTTGTTATTATGTAAAATTTATTCAGAACTAAAATTATTTCATACGGCAAAGCCCCGGTATCAATAACCGATTTTTGTGAAACTGCTGACGAATGTATGATTGTTGATCTGTCGCATGGCAACCTACATAAATATCCGTGGCAGTAGATATTATTTTGTCTTCAACGAGATTCAGTATAAATTTTATTATATTTCATGACACATTAATTCTCTAAGAAAAGTCTTATTCCATGCGGACATAACATAAAAAACGTGATTCAATTAATGCAAGTTCATATAGGGTTTGCGCTCGACTTACGCATGACATGACGGGAGTGGATACTCGCGACATCAGCGCTTACGGCGTCGTAGTGTTCAACTTCACATTGCGTTTTCGTGCATTTTACGGATTTACACCGTGTCGCGCCTAAAATTTTTACACCCTATCGCGCCTAAAGAAGTTTTACTTCAAAAAATTCAAAAGAAAACAAGCATTAACTGAACATAAAAGTACATACTGGAGAACGGCCTCATGAGTGCAAAATATCAATAAAAATTTTCAATGGCAAGTTCTTTAAGACGGCATTTGTCCACTGCATATTGAAGAACATCCTTATGAATGCAAGACATGCAAAAAAACATTCAAAACTAAACATTTATTAAGGCAACATGAAAGAAGACATATTAGAGAACAAACTGTAAAAAACAGTCAACAATTAGTTGAACAAGTCTAGAACTGCCCGACCTTATAATCCTTATCCATTACACAACTTATATTGATACACGATATTAAATGCAATTTATTTAATATATATTTCAGTTACAACTCTGGTTGTTACTCTCTCCTGACAATGCTTGTATGTAATTGTTTAATAATATTAATACATAGTACAAATGCTATTTATTTTTGTTTTATTAAAGCCCAGGCCGTGCCTGGCCAGTGGCAGTGCGTGCACCTGAAATCCGCCGATCGTGACTTAAAAACGATCGTAGTCAAAATCACCGGAAGGCGGCCGTATATAATATAAAATGTTGAAAGTGAATCGGAATCAAAAGCGGCTATTGAAAGCTTTGTTTCTAAATCATTATTAAGTGTATACATCTTAGTGTAAGAAATAGAAAATACTCTCATACTGTGCGACCAAATTATGCTAAACTGTTTTTTTAAAGTCTGATTAATAATCCAAGTTTTATCTTTAAGGGTGGTATTCACTGTAGAATTTTGAAAAAATCGAAAAACTTTTTTTTTCATATTTCAAGTTTAGTTATTCAAAAATATGTCATTAAAAGGATTTTGCAAATTACCTATTATTTCCTGAGTTATATCCGTTTAGTGACGTGGCCTCGTTCGGGTCCGACCGATCTCAAAACTTTGAAACGCGTTTTTCTCGGAACTACTTTTTTTGAGCTGGCGGTAAGGATATCTCGAGTTCTAATGAACCGCATTTACTTCAAATTTGGAGAGGAATCTTCTCTATACTCGCTTTAATCGCATGGACCTTTCCCAAAGCTATAACTTTTCATTTAGTAATTTTTAAAAAATTCGGAATTGTTAAAAAAACATGAAAAAAATTATTTTTTTCAAACTGCCGCCATTCAACAATTTTTTTCTTTTAACATATCCAAGGTTCATAAATATGCGGCATCTATAATAATTAAGAATCTATTTTATTTTTTATGTTTTCAATCACCAGGAGGTTTGGAATCATGCACGCTAGGACATTCTTTTTTTTTTGAGCCCCTACTTTGACTGCTCATAACTTTGTGAATTTTAATTTTTTTTTCTAATAATTTTTTTGTGTAATAATAAAATATCAACAAACAAATGATAAAAAAAACGACGGTAAAAATATTATTTGTTTCCTTTATACAGCGCTTTCAAATCCAGGCGAAATTCATACCTCTACAGTAGAAATCCCCTTAAAGCAAGATACATGATTTTTTAAACATGTGTAAATAATCGACATAACTATAAAAATATATTAAATCATGAATGAATTGTAATGTGAAAAACTATCGCAGATTATTCAATTTTGTACAAATTTTCTAAACATATTAGTTATTTTTTAAAAATGGTTAAAAAATTATATATTATTGAACAAGAAATAAACGTGTAGTATGTTCATTAAGAACAGGATCCAAAATCGCTAAAAAAATTGTTGATCAATAACTGAGAAACGACTCGACCGATCATTGACAAAACATCAACTAATTATTATCAATTCTCAAATGGTTTTTACTTTCCGTATGGCTAGTTATAGTAATCGCAAAAAAATATCGAATGAAATTTTATATATCTTTACTTTTCAGAGGTTTCTGAACATTTTGGCATACCTTAGAAGACTGGATGTATGTGTGTGTGTGCGGATACAATTTTCGTCGACGATTTCGGGAACACGATCAACCGATTTGAATAATTTAAAAAACATTCGATTCGTATTGATAAGAAGTCGTTGCTGATTAGTTTTTGGCGAAGGCAGGTCTAGCCGTTCCGAAGATACGGGGCAAAAAGTGCCGAAAACGGTAACTCAGTTTTTAAGAGAACGGAGCGTCCGATTTTAATAATTCAAAAAACATTTTACTTGTATTGACAAGGTGAAGAACCGATCAAATTTTCATAAAGGCAGGTTTCAGCGGTTTCGGAGCTCTAATGAAAAAAGTAAAAAAAAAATGCCATTTGGCGGTCAAAAATGATCATTAGACATATGCACATCAAATTATCAGATATTTTATAGAGATTTTAACAATAAGTATAATTTTGGTTTACATTCCTATGGGTTCCGTACCAATGTTTACGCGTTAGACGTCGACGCGGCGCTTACGCGGTTTGATATTTCGTCTTTATGCAGTTAAAGCAGTACGATTGCTTTGAAAAAAAGTTTAGATCTTTCAAAATATGTCAAAATAAAGAAAACATTTTTTTTCAAAAAAAAAATTAAACAAAAAATTAATAAAATTTTTTTTTCAAAAAAAAATAATTTTTTGTCTAATTGTTTGTCAAAAATCTTATTTTTTCGAAGTAAATTTTTTTCAAAAATGTTAATCGTTTTTAAAAAAAATAATAATTTTTGGTACGGGAAGTTCCAGCAATTTGCCTTAAGGTACGATGCCTAATTGCCTTAAGACAGAATTCCACTTACAGCTAGTTGAATTTTTAAAATCGATACACGAATTTAGGCTGTAACGTGGACGAAAAATTTGACACTTTCATGACAATTCTAAAGAAACGGCTCGGCCGATCGTGAGGCAAAATTAACCAGCATGAACCAGCACGTGCTTATCGAATTGTATCGAATTTTCAAATAGGACTGCGCATTTTTGAGAAAACCATCGAATAAAGATGAAATTTTTATAATATTTTGAAAATTAAAACGACTTGTCGTAAGGTCGAAATATTTAGTTAAATTTGAGATCATGATCTCTATCGCCGAAATTTATAAATATCATCGTAAAAAATATTTAACAAGTAAATACGAAGAAACGATCCGGCCGATCTCTTAAAACTAATCAGCACGATTCCCAAATGATATCTTTCAAACAGCTTCTGAATGTTTAAAACGATGCAGAATTTTTGGCTAAAACGTGTACGAAAATTTGTACACTTTTTTAACTTCCCGAAGGAGAAGTTTATGTTTTCATCAAAAAATTCGATTCGCTAATTTTATGTTTTCTCTCGACGTTTCAAGCCATTCTGAATCGAATGAGACAAAATTTAAGGAAAAAGTATGTGTGTGTGTGTGTGTGTGAACAGATTTTTTGCCGTAAATCGACGTTTTCTCGAAAACGGCTGGGTCGATTTCAAAAATTTAAAAGCGATGTATTTCGACGAGGACTATTGTTTGTCAGTTTTGTGCGACGATCGGCCAAGCCGTTTCTTTATAAATGGCAGAAGTGTGAAAAATTTTTCGTCTACGTTTTAGCCCGCAATTCTGAATCGATTTGAAAATTCAAAAACCGTTCGAAAGATATTGGTTGGGAATCGTGCTGATTAGTTTTTGGTAGAGATCGGCCGGGCCGTTTTCTTGTAATAAAGTTTTTAAAAAAAAATTTTGACGATTTTTATGATTATTTTTTTGGCGATAGATACCATAGTCTTCTAGATCACACTAAAATATTACGGCCCTACGACAACTAGTTTAGCTTTAAAAATTCGTCAAAGTTTGCAAAAATCAGTATGGTCGTTTTGGCATTTGTCAAAATTAGACTTTTGATCGACGATTTCTCAAAGCGCCTGAACCGATTTTAGAAATTTAAAAGCCATTTGATGTATTTCGGTGAGGACTATCGTTTGTCAGTTTTGTGCAACGATCTGCCAAGCCGTTTCTTTGTAATTTGAAAAAAAAGTGTTAAACTTTTCGTCCACATTTAAGCTCATCCTACCGAACCGATTTTAAAAAATCAAAAATTGTTCGAAAGATATTAGTTAGGAATGGTACTGATTAATTTTAGGTGAAAATCTACCGAGCCGTTTTCTTGTAATTACCTGTTGAAAAAAAATTTAAGACGATTTTCATGGCACTTTTTTTGGCGATATACATCATGGTCTTATAGAACTTACTGTAATATTATGGCCTTACGACAAGTAGTTTAATTTTACAAATTCGTCAAAGTTTGCTAAAATTATTATTGTTTTTTTTTTCAAAGTAGTATTGATAAAGAATATTATTTACACATTTTTTTTTATTAAGTCGATTATTTACACATATCGGGAAGTTCATGTAACTTGCCTCAAGGCTAAATACCAAACCAACTAGTTGTTGATTAGAAACGACTTGGCCGAATGTTGGACAAAACTGACAGACGGTAGTCGTTATCTAGTTACATCAAATAACTTTTAAATTTTTGAAAACAACTTAACCGTTTTTAAGAAGACATTGACAAGAAAACAAAAATCAGCTCATATACACATTTCTTTTTCAAATTTGATTCAGAATGACTAGAAACGTTGAAAAAACATAAAAATTACAAGTCGATTTTTTGTGAGAACATATTTGATTTTATCCTATTATGTTATTTTCAAGGGCGGCCAAAAAACGCTCGCACGCAGGCGGCCACATACCCAGGCACGGCCCTGTCAAAGCCTTACTATTTTTATAAAATTCTATAAGAGAGAAATTTATGATTTTCACTAGAAAATACAATTTGTTGTATTTCGAGATGAGCCGAGGACTGGGCGTACTTTTTAAGTAGCTCTTTCTTAAAAACTCATAGCCGCTTTGATTCCCACAAGTTCATACATACTTTATATGGTTTCTTAATGAAGACACATATCTATTTATTTGTTCCCTCTCAAAAACTTTTATATGTTCAGATTTTATGTTTTTTTTGTTAAAATTAATAATAATTTCGGATTTCAAATTTTGCCGCCGAAAAACTCGCATTTAAAATGTGCTCAATGTTGTCCAACCTGGTCACTTGTTCATGAAAACAAAATGGAGGAGGAATGTCAAAGTGGTTTATGGAATTATTAAAGTTGAATTCGAAGATAAATTTAGTAAAAAGTCAGTGTTAGCTTTATATCATATTAAACAATAAACGAATTAGTAAATATCGAAACACATAATATTATACACTTAGACTTCTCAATTTTTAAGAACTCATCACCAGTTTATTATAACCTACAAACTTCAAACATGTCTGTGGAAACAAATTCAAACAAAACAATTAAAACCGAACCGATCGATGATTATCCTCAAGTGAAACAGGAATTTGATGATTGTAAAAATACATTAGATTTGTATATGGATGATGATATATGTCGGCAGCAATTTCTAAAATCTGAGGTTACAATTGACGAGGAAATCAAACTAGAGACAATTGACGACCAAGACGATGTGACTAGTACAAACAAAACTGTATTAGATGAAAGTTCTTATATATGTTGTGAAGAGATCAGTGAATCAAGTAATTTAGTAGATAGCACGAACAAATCATTTGAAGAAATTTCAGGAAAAAGTGAAACAACTAATAAATTGAAACTGTATACATGTGAAATATGCCATAAAACATTTACAGCAAAACGTAACTTAAACCAACATAAAATTATACACTCTGGGGAACTGCCTCATGAGTGCAAAATATGCAATAAAAGATTTTTACGGTCAAGTACTTTAACACAGCATTTATCAGTGCATACTGAAGAACGACCTTATGCATGTGAAATATGTAATAAAACATTCAGAACAAAACCTATATTAATGCAACATAAAACAGTTCATACTGGAGAACGTCCTTATGTGTGCGAAATATGTAATAAAACATTCAAAATAAAAAAAATTTTAAAACAACATAAAATGATTCACACTGAAAAAAGTCCTCATGTGTGCAACATATGCAATAAAAGATTTTCACGGTCAACTAGTTTAAGAGAGCATTTATCAGTGCATACTGAAGAACAACCTTATGAATGTGAAATATGTAATAAACATTCAGAACAAAACTTATATTAAGGCAACATAAAACAGTTCATACTGGAGAATGCCGTAATGAGTGCAAAATATGCAATAAAACATTTTCACAGTCAAGTAGTTTAAAAAGGCATTTATCAGTGCATACTGAAGAACGACCTTACGCATGTGAAATATGTAATAAAACATTCAGAACAAAACGTATATTAATGCGACATAAAACAGTTCATACTGGAGAACGCCGTAATGAGTGCAAAATATGCAATAAAACATTTTCACATTCAGCTAATTTAATAAGGCATTTATCAGTGCATAGTGAAGAACGACCTTATGCATGTGACATATGCAATAAAAGATACAAAACAAAACCTAATTTATATCAACATAAAATTGTACATACTGGAAAACGGCCGTATGAGTGCAAAAATGCAATAAAAGATTTTACAGTTATGTAATTTATCAGTGCATTTATCAGTGCATTCTGAAGAACGACCTTATCCATGTGACATATGCAATAAAAGATACAAAAAAAAAATATATTAATGCGACATGAAAGAGGACATACTTGAGAATAAACTGTAAAAAAACTGTCAACAAAACTGATAAATTAGCCTAGAAACTGTCCGGCCTTATAATCCTTATCAATCACTCAACTTATATTGATACACAAGATATTAAATGCACTTTATTTAATATATATTTCAGTTACTCTAAACTAATGCCTTGTATGTAATTGTTTTATTAATTTAAATACATAGTACAAAACCTATTTATTTTTGTTTTATTCAAAATATTACTATTTTTGTTCTTCAATTCTTCAATTTTCTTAGTAAAACTCCTTTAGGCACGACTAGGGTGTAAATCTGTGCAAATGCAACGGAAGAGCGTTACGGCATAAATAAGAGTCGAGTGTGAATGATTCGTCATTCGCTCTCGATGATATCATTTCTATACGGGTCGATTGTGATTGGTCGTCGTGTCACGTGCGAGGGTTCTTTGGTTGTATGCGTACGCCACATACGTAATTAGATTTTAAGGTCAAGTCCTAGTAGAAATCTTGATTTGATTAAAGAATATGTGGATGGGTAGAATAATTTATTCCGTCTTCAGTAAATAATTATAGCGAAAAAAAAAACAAATGAAAAATCCGTGCCGTGTGAGAAACGTAAGTTTATTGAAATAATTTGTATTATTTGTGGTTACTATATATTTTTAGAAATTAATTTTATAGGCAAGAGAGATATTACAGCTGCTCAAAGAATGAGACTGTATCGCCAACGAAAAAGTAAAACAGTCAATGAATGTATGTTAATTTTAATTACATGAAGTTCTTGAAACACAATCATTACTTAGTCAGTTTGTGTAAATTCATTATACTTATGAAAACTTTTACAATATTTCTGTGTAGTTGTTATATATTATTGATCATTCAATAATTCATATTGATTGTTCCTTGTAAATTTATCATACCATTGTGAATACTTTTTTTAGTTACTTATAATTGTAAAATTATAATACTTATTATTATGTATATATTGATTATTGCATTTATAAAAATTTTAATTGTTATGTAAAAATGTTTGTGATATATTTGAAAATATATTTTGTACTTCGTATGTTTTTTTTCTCATTTGCAATATAAGAAATTATTTAGGTTTTCTTATTTTGAATTACGTATGCGAACCATATCTAGGAATAATACCAGCAGTTGATTTATATACTGAACAAGTGCTGCCTTCTTCAGATCGCTAAAAATATTAAAATGGCGGTAATGTCAAATGGCCTCAGATAGCGATCTATTTATGTTTACTTATCTATGGGTACTAGTTCTTCAATTAGCTTCGAGATGATTCAACGGAACAAATATATATATGTACACCAGCTGGCCCGAAAAACGTTGCTAAAAAGTCATGAAAAATTATAATATGTTTGTCGTTGCAAGTCTCAGCATAATCTGAAACTGAAAAACATGAACATTTACTTTTCAATTATGTTGCGATTTCAAATTTGCCGCCGAAAAACACGCAGCTGATTTGTGTTTAACTTCAACTTGAACTGTTGTTTATTATAAAACAAAATGGAGGAGAAACGTCAAAGTGGTTTATGGAATTGTTAAAGTTAAATTCGAAGATAAATTTAGTAAAAAGGTCAGTGTTAGCATTATATTCTATTAAACAATAAACAAATTAGTAAATATCGAAACATATTTATTATTGTACCTTTAGACTTCTCAAATTTTAAGAACTCATCACCAGTTTGTTTATTATAACCTACAAACTTCAAACATGTCTGAAGAAACAAATTCAAACAAAACAATTAAAACCGAACCGATCGATGATTATCCTCAAGTGAAACAGGAATTTGATAATTATGACAATACATCAGATTTATATATGGATGATGATATATGTCTGCAGCAATTTCTTAAATCTGAGGTTACAATTGACGAGGAAATAAAACAAGAGACGATTGATGACCAAGATGACATAACTAGTACAAACAAAGCAGTTTTAGATGAAAATTCTTCCATATGTAACGACGAGATCAGTGAATCAAGTATGATAGTCAATAGTGCAAACAAATCATTTAAAAAAGTTTCAGGAAAACGTAAGACAACTAGTAAGTTGAAATATAAATGTAAATCATGCAGTAAAACATTTGTAGCAAAACAAGGCTTAGACCGACATGAAATAGTACATACTGGAGAACGGCCTCATGAGTGCGAAATATGCAATAAAAGATTTGCACTGCTATGTAATTTAAGAAAGCATTCATCAGTGCATAGTGAAGAACGTGCTTATGATTGTGAAATGTGCAATAAAAAATTCAAAAGAAAAGAAACATTAACTCAACATGAAATAGTACATACTGGAGAACGCTGTCATGAGTGTAATATATGCAATAAAAGATTTGCACTGATAAGTAATTTAAGAAAGCATTTATCAGTGCATACAGGAGAACGTCCTTATATTTGTGAAATATGTAATGAAAAATTCAGATTGAAAGAATACTTAAACCAGCATAAACTGGTCCATACTGGAGTACGCCCTCATGAGTGCGTAATATGCAAAAAAACATTTTTAGTGTTAAGTCATTTAAAAAGACATATATTAATGCATAATGAAGAACGTGCTTATGATTGTGAAATGTGCAATAAAAAATTCAAAAGAAAACAAGCATTAACTGAACATAAAATAGTACATACTGGAGAACGGCCTCATGAGTGCAAAATATGCAATAAAAGATTTTCAATGGCAAGTTCTTTAAGACGGCATTTGTCACTGCATATTGAAGAACATCCTTATGAATGCAAGACATGCAATAAAACATTCAAAACTAAACATTTATTAAGGCAACATGAAAGAAGACATATTAGAGAACAAACTGTAAAAAACAGTCAACAAATTAGTTGAACAAGTCTAGAAACTGCCCGACCTTATAATCCTTATCAATCACTCAACTTATATTGATACACAGGATATTAATTGCACTTCATTTATTATATATTTCAGTACACAACTCTGTTTGTTACTCATAATCAGTGTATTGTATGTAATTGTTTATTAATATAAATACATAGTATACAAAGCCTATTTATTTTTGTTTTATTAAAAGCCCAGGGCTTTTGGCCAGCGTGCAGTGCGTGCATCTGAAAATCCGCCGATCGTGACTTAAAAAACGACCGTAGTCAAAATCAACCGAAGGCGGCCGTATATAATGAATTTAATTGAAAGTGAGATCGAATCAAAAAGCGGCTATTGAAAGCTTTGTTTCTAAATCATTATTAAGTGTATAATCTTGGTGTAAGTGGCAACTTTGCCTTAAAGCAAGATGCATGATTTTTTAAACATGTGTAAATAATCGACATAACTATAAAAATATATTAAATCATGAAGGAATTGTAATGTGAAAAACTATCGCAGATTATTCAATTTTGTACAAATTTTCTAAACAAATTAGTTATTTTTTAAAAATGGTTAAAAAATTATATATTATTGAACAAGAAATAAACATGTAGTATGTTCATTAAGAACAGGCTCCAAAATCGCTAAAAAAAATTGTTAATCAATAACTGAGAAACGACTCGACCGATCATTGACAAAAACATCAACTAATCCAATTTTCAAATGGTTTTTAACTTCCCGTAGGGCAAGTTATAGTAATCGCAAAAAAAATCGAAAATGAAAATTTTTGCATTTCTCGACGTTTCAAAGGTTTCTGAATATTTTGGCATACCTTAGAAAAAATGGATGTATGTGTGTGTGTGTGCGTGTGTGTGTTTGTGCGGATACAAATTTTCGTCGACGATTTCGGGAACACCGATCAACCGATTTGAATAATTTAAAAAACATTTGATTCGTATTGATAAGGAGACGTGCTGATTAGTTTTTGGCGAAGTCAGATCTAGCCGTTCCGAAGATACGGGGCAAAAAGTGCCGAAAACGGTAACTCAGTTTTTAAGAGAACGGAGCGTCCGATTTTAATAATTCAAAAAACATTTTACTTGTATTGACAAGGTAAAGAACCGATCAAATTTTCATAAAGGCAGGTCTAGCGGTTTCGGAGCTCTAATGAAAAAAGTAAAAAAAAATGCCATTTGGTGGTCAAAAATGATCATTAGACATATGCACATCAAATTATCAGATATTTTATAGAGATTTTAGCAAGTATAAATTTTGTTTACATTCCTTTGGGTTCCGTACCAATGTTTATGCGTTAGACGGCGACGCGGCGCTTACGCGCTTTGATATTTTGTCTTTATGCAGTTAAAGCAGTACGATTGCTTTGAAAAAAAGTTTAGATCTTTCAAAATATGTCAAAATAAAGAAAACATTTTTTTCAAAAAAAAAAAAAAATTAAAACAAAAAAATTAATAAAAAAAATTTTTTTTCAAAAAAAAATAATTTTTTGTCTAATTGTTTGTCAAAAATCTTATTTTTTTGAAGTAAATTTTTTTCAAAAATGTTAATCGTTTTTAAAAAAATAATAATTTTTGGTACGGGAAGTACCAGCAAATTGCCTCAAGGCACGATGCCTTAATTGCCTTAAGACAGAATTCCACTTACAGCTAGTTGAATTTCTAAAATCGATTCACGAATTTAGGCTATAACGTGGACGAAAAATTTGACACTTCCATGACAATTCTAAAGAAACGGCTCAGCCGATCGTGAGGCAAAATTAACCAGCATGAACCAGCACGTGCTTATAGAATTGTATCGAATTTTCAGATAGGACTGCGCATTTTTGAGAAAACCATCGAAAAATGAAATTTTTATAATATTTTGAAAATTAAAACGACTTGTCGTAAGGTCGAAATATTTAGTTAAATTTGAGATCATGATGTAAAAAATATTTAACAAGTAAATACGAAGAAACGATCCGGCCGATCTCTTGAAACTAATCAGCACGATTTCCAAATGATATCTTTCAAACAGCTTCTGAATGTTTAAAAACGATGCAGAATTTTTGGATAAAACGTGTACGAAAATTTGTACACTTTTTTGTTGATTAGAAACGACTTGGCCGAATGTTGGACAAAATTGACAGACGGTAGTCGTTATCTAGTTACATCAAATAACTTTTAAATTTTTGAAATCAACTTAACCGTTTTTAAGAAGACATTGACAAGAAAACAAAAATCAGCTCATATACACACTTCTTTCTCAAATTTGATTCAGAATGACTAGAAACGTTGAGAAAACATAAAAATTACAAGTCGATTTTTTGTGAGAACATATTTGATTTTATCCTATTATGTTATTTTCAAGGGCGGCCAAAAATACAAACTAGAAAATACAATTTGTTAATTTTTTGTTTACTCAATCGACAATGGATAACCTGAATATACAGTAAAACCTATTTATTTCCGAGGGATACTAATTTTATAGTTCACTTCACTGTTTATACGGATGGGAAATGGCACTGTAATCACATTATAATTGTTAATTATTTAATAATATAGAAAAATATGAATTAATAGAAATATATTTCTAAGTTTTATAAAAATGTATTTAAATCCAGTTCTGAAAACAACATACAATCCAGATCTAGTTCCAAAGTCTTAAGCATCAAAAGACGATTTGTTGAGTTAAAGGACAAAAAGAAGTTAAATCGCGATTCCAATGAACCTTTTGGTGTCAGCGATAACCCGATGTCTGGACATACAGAACGAGTATGCCAACGAAAGTCCGGTGTCATGGCTAGAGTAAATGCGTTAAACCGAGATGAGACGAGGACTGGGCGTACTTTTTAAGTAGCTCTTTCTTAAAAACTCATAGCCGCTTTGATTCCCACAAGTTCATACAAATTTTATATGGTTTCTTAATGAAGACACGTATAAATTTATTTGTTCCCTCTCAAAAACTTTTATATGTTCAGATTTTATGTTTTTTTTGTTAAAATTAATAATAATTTCGGATTTCAAATTTTGCCGCCGAAAAACTCGCATTTAAAATGTGCTCAATGTTGTCCAACCTGGTCACTTGTTCATGAAAACAAAATGGAGGAGGAATGTCAAAGTGGTTTATGGAATTATTAAAGTTGAATTCGAAGATAAATTTAGTAAAAAGGTCAGTGTTAGCATTATATCATATTAAACAATAAACGAATTAGTAAATATCGAAACACATATATTATTATACACTTAGACTTCTCAATTTTTAAGAACTCATCACCAGTTTATTATAGCCTACAAACTTCAAACATGTCTGTGGAAACAAATTCAAACAAAACAATTAAAATTGAACCGATCGATGATTATCCTCAAGTGAAACAGGAATTTGATGATTGTAAAAATACATCGGATTTGTATATGGATGATGATATATGTCGGCAGCAATTTCAAAAATCTGAGGTTACAATTGACGAGGAAATAAAACAAGAGACGAATGATGACCAAGATGCTTTGGGTAATACAAACGAAAGAGTTTTAAATGAAAAACCTTACATATGTAACAAAGAGATCACTAATTCAAGTAATTTAGTGGATAGCACGGACAAATCATTTGAAAAAGTTCCAGCAAAACATGAAGCAACTAGCAAGTTGAAACCCTATGAATGTGAAAAATGCAATAAAACATTCACAACAAAACCAAACTTAAACCAACATAAAATTATACACTCTGGGGAACTGCCTTATGAGTGCAAAATATGCAATAAAAGATTTTTACGGTCAACTAATTTAAGAGATCATTTATCAGTGCATACTGAAGAACGACCTTATGCATGTGAAATATGTAATAAAACATTCAAATTGAAAAAAATTTTAAAAGTACATAAAATGATTCACACTGAAAAAAGTCCTCATGAGTGCAACATATGCAATAAAAGATTTTCACGGTCAACTAATTTAAGAGAGCATTTATCATTGCATACTGGAGAACAACCTTACGCATGTGAAATATGTAATAACACATTCAGAACAAAACTTATATTAAGGCAACATAAAACATTACATACTGGAGAACGTAATGAGTGCAAAATATGCAATAAAACATTTTCACAAAAGGGTAATTTAATAAGGCATTTATCAGTGCATAGTGAAGAACGACCTTACGCATGTGAAATATGTAATAATACATTCAGAACAAAACGTATATTAATGCGACATAAAACAGTACATACTGGAGAACGCCGTAATGAGTGCAAAATATGCAATAAAACATTTTCACTTTCAGGTAATTTAATAAGGCATTTATCAATGCATAGTGAAGAACGACCTTATGCATGTGACATATGCAATAAAAGATACAAAACAAAACCTAATTTATATCAACATAAATATGTACATACTGGAAAACGGCCGTATGAGTGCAAAATATGCAATAAAAGATTTTTACAGTTATGTAATTTATCAGTGCATTTATCAGTGCATTCTGAAGAACGACCTTATCCATGTGACATATGCAATAAAAGATACAAAACAAAAGATAAATTAATGCGACATGAAAGAGGACATACTTGAGAATAAACTGTAAAAAAACTGTCAACAAAACTGATAAATTAGCCTAGAAACTGTCCGGCCTTATAATCCTCATCAATCACTCAACTTATATTGATACACAGGATATTAAATGCAATTTATTTAATATATATTTCAGTCACAACTCTGGTTGTTACTCCTAACCAGTGCCTTTTATGTAATTGTTTAATAATATAAATACATAGTACAAATGCTATTTATTTTTGTTTTATTCAAAACATTACTATTTTTGTTCTTCAATTCTTCAATATTCTTAGTAAAGCTCCTTTAGGCGCGACTAGGGTGTAAATCTGTGCAAATACAACGGAAGAGCGTTACGGCCGAGTCGAGTGCCAATGATTCGTCATTCGCTCTCGATGATATCATTTCTATACGGGTCGATTGTGATTGGTCGTCGTGTCACGTGCGAGGGTGTACGCCACATACGTAATT